TATAAAGCGCTGTCTTTTTATGCGCTGCTAAAAGTCAATTCTGGCGTAGTGTTTATTTGCTTTGTTTTCTTTCATTTTTCTTCATTCTTGTGTGTTTTCTTAAATAAAAAAATAAAATTGTATGATGTTCTGTTCTTTGGTTTTTTAATTGTAAATTGTATGTGAGTAAATTCTGTGTTCTATTGATTAAAGAATTGTGGTTTGATATGCTTGCTTTTTTGGGGTGCATTCTTGATATGTTAAGTAGAATTGAACTCTAGATTGTGCATCATTTATGGTAGATCATTAATCTTGTGAGATTTCGAGCCTTTTAATGGATAACATTTAAAAACCCATCATTTTCTTTTTGTGTGTTTCGCTCGTGTTTGTTAGTCTCTAGAATTTGTTTTACTTGTGCACGCTAATATGATAAAGACATGTTGTTTTGTTTTTATTTTTAGACAGTTAGCCAAAAAAGCAACCATGCAAATATTATCCCTTATTTGGAAACCACATTTAGCCTGCTTATCCTTTTTATTCATTTAAAATTCATTATAAGTCGAAAAGCGAAAAAAACAATATTATTACCCTTTGAGTTTTAGGATGTCAATACATTTTCCTTCTAAAAAATATCAAAAAATAAAAGAATAAAAAGAGAAAAGAGAAGAAAAATAACAGTGAATGAAGTATTTTGTAGTTCAACTCCCTCAGTTTTCTTCAATTTTCTTTTGACCCTTTGAGTTTTATCCTAGTACCCCTTAGGATTTATCTTACCATTGCCTTGGCCACGTTACAACCTGAATAAAAGTCCTTTTGATCTTTTGTGCATGTATTTTAATTATGGATGTTATAGTTTTTTCAAGCTTATGGGAGTACTTACTTTTATGTTGTGCTTTGAATGTAAACTGTTAACTTAAACACTTGAGATTTAAGTGAATTTTATCTTGTGAAAATATTGCTCCTTATGATGTACTATATGGTACATTATTCTCTTATCTGCTTTAACTGTCACAAAATGTTTCTCACTAACACCATTTTTCATGAAGTTTAGACTTAGGATTTTACTTACACTTTTTGTTTTGTTTTTGTTTTGAAATTTTTCTGTTTTAAATTTATAATTTTGCTCGGAATGCAAAAGTTCAAGTGTGGGGGAATTTGATCGGTGTATTTTGATGCATATTCTTCTACTATTGTACTTAGAAATTTCTCTAATTTATTTTATCAATTTTACTATTTTATTGTGTTTTTAGAGTTAAGTTTAGTTTTGCCTTTAATTTAAATTATTATTTTATTTTCAACATTAACAATTATTTGATACATGTTCACTTTGTAGACCATAACTTGAGCTATGAGAATCATATTGAAGCGTTCTAATAGGCGTTGGAAAGCTAATAGGAACAACTACAAGTTTTGTGTTAAAGGCAAAAGCTGATTTGGAGTTCAGAAACCTCAAATAATTCGTTGAAGTTTCATACTTAAGAAATGTTTAGTTTTGGGCTGATCTTTTTATGTTTTTCGACCCGGTTGGGTTAAAACCTGAATTTGATGCTTTCCTATACCTAGCAGTTGCACTACTGTTCAAACTATCTATTTTTTACACTGTTCACGAATTTTTCCTTTGTTTTGTACGATTTTCACATGGAGAGCTAAATCTCTTCAAAGTTGATTTGTTGTATTTAGGTTTCGAAACGTTGGGATTATTATAATTTGCAATATAATTTCTATTCTCTTCAATTCTATTGTATGATTAATGTTTTCTTAATATGATTTGTTATAGAGTCGTTTTGTTTGATTTGGTTGATTCACGTTCCCTAAATTTAATTGCGCTTAACTCATATTATTTGTTAATTCACGATATCTCTAATTGATTGCTTAATTCGACAACAAAAACATAACTCTTATAATATTGTTAGCGTTTAGTGATTAATATTAAGATAGAACAAAAATAGAGAATCCACTTAGGGATTGCGAGTTTATAATAGTCGATGATATGTAGAAATAAAATAAGTCGATTAACTCTTTAATTGTAATTATAATCAAGTCCTGCCAATCGTGATCTCAAACTTAATCAAAACTTAAACCCCTTAAATTATTTATTTAGTTGGTTAATTTTTCCAAGAGTCCTTGCGATACGACTCAAGTCATTTTCGCTAAACTACAGTTTTATAATTACTCGTTTTGATCCGCGTGCGACATCGGATTAACGATCCATTTCGTGCATGAGTTTGACGTTGCTGGTGCTCATCAATGAAATATATAAAGACTCAAACCTTAAGGGCCTTTATGGGCTCAAAGGAGATTCCATACTCTGGAATATCGATTTACCACTTAGTCGTCCTTCCTTTTAAGTTGGGATTGTGAATGACTTGCTTTAATGAATGACCTGTCTGAACCAATATCGAGTGTGCTTAAAAGTAATAATGTAGTTTCCTTTATGCCACTACTAAGGCCAATATAATTTTCTCTATCTTAAGGTAGTTATTCTTGGGAGTGGCAAATGCCTTTTAGATGAAGTACAACGAGTTCTGATTACCGCTTACTTCTTTGACGATAATTATGCTTACGACATCAGCGGAATAACAAAATAGAGAAACACGTATTTATCAACCATGGTCTAGATATAATTGGAGGTTTAGAAAGAGCAACTATTAGTATGGTGAATACTTGTTTACATCCCTTGTCCAACAAACTACATATTCTTCCTTAGGAATACCTATAATGGAAGCTCATGTTGGGACGATCTTACAGTGAACTTATCGAGAGTTGTGATCATCTCATTCAAGTTCATTATCCTCTCATCCATGGTTGAGGTATCAATCTTGATGGCTGTATCAAATTTATTATGATTGGCTTCGTTACCTTTCTAGGTAAAAAACAATCCTAAGAATTTACAGACTTTAACATTGAAGATGCATTTGTACGAGTCGAGCATCATGTTATATTGTTAGACATGGTTGAACATGTTGGTGAAGTGACCTTCACGCATCTACTCCTCATTGGATTTGGCAATCATATCATCCACATATACTTTTAGTATCTTGCCAAATCCATTTTCAAAGATCTATCTTATCATCCCTTGGTACATCATAATTGCATTTTCAGTCCAAAAGGCATCACATTGTATATTTATCTGAATTACTCTACCATGAAGAAAATTTTGTTGATGTTTGCCTAATGCATGTGTATTCTATTATATCCAAAATAAGCACCTATGATAGTTAGCATTTTGTATTCAACATAGTTGTCTACCAGCTTGTCAATGATAAGTAACATGTATGAATCTCAGGGGCATGGATTGTTGAAATATGAGAAATCAACACACATTTTCCATTTTCTCAACGAAGTTTTAACTAGAGCAACATTAGATAGTCATTTGATGTATTTTAATCTTGAAATAACTTTTGCTTGAAGGAGCCCTATAACAGTGTTTTGGATGGATTCAACTTTCTTTGGTGAATGTTATTTTCTCCTATGGGCTATGTACCAGATGGAAATATCAATGTTCGATTAATGACATGCAATGCTGGAGTTGATGTCAAGTATCTCATATGGGAAGACGCTGAATAGGTCGACGTTAGCTTTAAGGCACTTCATGAGGTATCTTTCCATGAAGTCCTGAAGGTTGAACCTAATCTTTACCATTATATACGGGTTTTCGTCGAACTTGATGACTATGAAATCATCATTTGGGATTGACCTTGGAATTTTGATTATAGCTTCGAGTACAACCCTCTCAGACCCACACCAATCATCTAATGTGGTCTCTTCTTGGTGCATGTTAAAATTCATAATGTTGACGTGTAAATGGTGTTTATTAGAAGAATTCGCTCTTTTTCACCCCCATTTTGCTGGATAATTGTCATGATCGGGTTCTTTAGTGTGACTTCATGTATTTAACAAACTCTTATTATACCAACACAGACAATTACCCATTCATCGTGAACATTGTGATATTTACTTTTTAGGTGAACATTGAAATCGATAGTATGAAGGGTCGTGGAGAAGGGTTTTCCCTATACGCAATTGTAAATACTTTTGCATGGGACTGTTAAAAACTACATGTCTACCATTCTTGCACCTCTTCCTTCTCCGAGAGTAATCATGCAACCCTATGGTCGGGTTATTGAACCATTTATTAAGCCTAATTTCTTAAAGAATTCAGCATACATGTGTTGCATGAGATGAGTGCGACATCTAACTTCAATGCAATACCTCAACAAAAATACACATGTTCGTTAGTCTGAATGGGTGAAACTTTGAATTGAACATTCATATTAGACAGATCTTACTTGACGATTTAACCGGTCCAAAACAAATATATTCAACAAAATTGAGAGAATAAAAAAATATATTGCGTTAAATATATCAAACTTAACCGTATAAATAACCATTATAATTCATAAATCTAAAAAAATAATTCATAAACATATTATAATAAGATAACAAACGTTAATATTTAACTGATATCCACAACAAAACTCCCTTAAAAAAACCCAAAACAAAATCAATAAATTAAAAAATATAAAAACAACAATGTTTCTAATGTTTATGTTTTTAAATAAAATGAAACTATTTCCATTATATGCATAATGCTTTTAAATAATTCATACATGTTGTAAATTATTGTTGTAATCTCAAATATATAAGAGATGTATCATAAAATATAATTATAAAAATCATTTTTAATCCTAAGTTATGTCACTAGAATATTTAAAAAAAAAAAACTCAACAATTGAAAGTTTAAACCCTAGATATTTATAAAAATAAAATATAAAAGAAAATTGAAACCCTAGACATAGTGTAAACCCTACTAAAGAAAAAACCTTCACCTTGCTCCTCTGTCGTGTTTCATTTTCCCCGCACACCGCAAAACCAGTCTCTACCAAAGGTCAATACTTTTCGCTCTCTATGAACTTATCATCTTCATTTTCTCTTTCTTCTTTCTGCTTATCGTTTCATTCCTAGTCTCATAACGCTAGATTTCATGATTTGTTTTTCAGGTTCGTTGAAAATCTGGTAAAATGCTGGTACTATTTGAAACGCCGGCGGGTTTCGCTCTTTTCAAAGTTCTCAATGAAGGAAAGCTTTCTGAAGTTCAGGTGATTCTAATCCTTTAAACTTATTTACAAACCTGTTAACTGTTCATAGTATAAATCTATCATTTTTTAAGATTCTTCTTATATATTGGTTGCATTTTCAGTTTTTGAAGGAAAAATGCTTTTTAATTGTAGTTGTAAATGTTGAAATTATTGTATTTTGTATGTTTATGATCTCTGTTCTGTTCCTATTTAATTTTTTTTAGGGTTTATGAGGTTTTGTTTAGCATGGGTTGCTGCAATGCTTTATTACCCTTAATTTCTTTCGATTTTGTAAAACAGTGGTTGTGTAGAGTAGTTCCAATAAAATGCTATTTTCCCTGATTTGCAATTGACAACACTAGTTTATTAGTTGCTTTTTCGTGTTTAGAATTTATAAGAGTTCATATTATAGTGAACCTGGAATGTACTGTGTTTCCGTTTCTTACTTTCTTTCATATACGTTGATCTAATCTATTTTCATCTTGCAAATTTGTTTATACAGGATTTATCTCTGGATTTTTCCACTGCTGATGCTGCAAGAAAGGTTATATCCTGCATCTGTTCCCTCTCCTATTTCCCTCAATTGCGTGTTTATATATGTCTGCCTTTTTATTCAGTTTCTCGAAGTTTATGAAGCTAACCCATTGTGACGCATTAATAGGTGGTCAAGTTGAAAGCGTTTTCTAAGTTTGAGAATACAGCAGAAGCTCTAGAAGCAGCTAGTTGTTTGATTGATGGAAAAACTAGCAAGGGTCTACGCAAGTTCCTGCGTGCTCATTGTGATAATGAGATATTAGCTGTAGCTGATTCAAAGCTGGGGAATATCATTAAGGAAAAATTGGTGCGCTACTTAAATTTCTCTTAGAAAATTGTGATGACAGTTTACGTATTTTTCATCTAATAGCTAATCTTTTTTTTGTTGAAACATTTCAGAAAATCGACTGTGTTCACAACAATGCTGTTATGGAGCTAATGCGAGGTGTTCGATATCAGTTGACAGAACTCATATCAGGTCTTGCTGTTCAAGACATGGCTCCGATGAGCTTGGGTTTGTCGCATAGTCTATCAAGATACAAACTGAAGTTTAGTGCAGACAAGGTCTATATCCTGTTTACTCTGAATATACAATAGTGCATGTTAATCTGAATATACAATAGTGCATGTTAATCACTGATGCAAATGTTTGTATATTGGTTCTGTTTTTGTTGCCTGATACTTTTTGATTTTTGATTTTTTTGATAACAACATTTTACTGACCTTGAGATGTTTTTTACTAGGTGGACACCATGATCGTCCAGGCTATTGGTTTACTTGATGATCTTGATAAAGAGTTGAATACATATGCCATGAGGGTTCGGGAATGGTATGGTTGGCATTTTCCAGAACTTACCAAAATCATTCAGGATAACATCCAATATGCAAGGTCTGTCAAGCTGATGGGTGATCGCATTAATGCTGCAAAGCTTGATTTCTCTGAGGTAGGGATACAATTTTGTAGTCATGTGTAATCAACTATTTATCTTTTGAGTTGCGCATATAGGACTGTCACAAATAATTTTGATTTATTCTAAATCCTGGCAGTTTAAACTTTGTTGGTATCTATGTAAAGCACATACTCTTTCTTTCTGCAACATAATTGAAAACAGTGTCATGAACCTGTCACACTTTAACAAATGATGTCTAGTTTCACATACGTTGGTATTTTAATATTTTTCCTTTATCCTGAAACATATTACAGATTTTGACAGAGGAAGTTGAGGCAGAAGTGAAAGAAGCAGCTGTGATATCTATGGGAACTGAAATCGGTGAACTAGATTTGTCAAATATTAGAGAGCTATGTGATCAGGTTCTGTCTCTTTCGGAATACAGAGCTCAGCTCTATGATTATCTAAAGAGTAGGATGAGCACCATTGCACCCAATTTGACTGCTATGGTTGGGGAGCTTGTTGGTGCTCGCCTCATTGCTCATGGGGGTAGCTTAATTAATCTTGCAAAGCAGCCTGGTAGTACCGTACAGATTCTTGGTGCTGAGAAGGCTCTCTTTAGGGCACTGAAGACTAAACACGCTACTCCCAAATACGGTCTTATATACCATGCATCCTTAATTGGTCAAGCAGCTCCAAAGTTCAAGGGGAAGATTTCTCGGTCACTTGCTGCAAAGACGGCATTGGCTATCAGGTATGATGCACTTGGAGATGGCGAAGACAGCACCATGGGATTGGAGAACAGAGCCAAGGTACTTGTTATACTTCTAGTTATGCTTGCCATGGTTTTATATAGGACCTTTATTTACACAAGTTTTTGTGCAGCTGGAAGCACGATTGAGGAACCTCGAAGGCAAAGAATTAGGTCGATTTGGAGGTTCTGCTAAAGGGAAGCCCAAGATAGAGGCCTATGATAAGGATAAAAAGAAAGGAGCTGGAGGACTGATAACTCCCGCCAAGGTATATTATTTGTTCACTTAATATTATTAGTTCACTTAATATTATTAGTGCAATTTGTTTTATCAAGTGCTGATTCTTTTTTTTCTCTGTAGACATATAATACTGCAGCTGATTCTGTTTTCGATCAAAAGTCTAATTCTGCAATGGATGAAGACACACCAGAACCTACCACAGCTGAGAAAAAGAAAGAAAAGAAGGGGAAGAAAGAAAAGAAGAATAAGAAAGAAAAGAAGAAAAAGGAAGAAGTTGATGCAACTTCGCCAGCTGATGTAGATGGTGGTGAGGAGCCAGAACATGAAGTTGTGAAGAAAGAGAAGAAGAAGAAAAGGAAGGAATCCACTGAGAACATTGAGACGCAGAATGGAGACACAAATTTGAATGAAGGAGAAAAGAAGAAAAAGAGGAAAAAACACGCAGAGCAGGAAGATTCGGCTGATGTACCAAGTAAGAAGAACAAAAAAAAGAAGAAAAATGACGACTAGAGCCAGATCATGCAGAGATTAGCATCAACTAATCAATCCGGTGACTGGCAACCATTTTTGTACTTACTTGTGTAACTCAGTAGCTGTTACATTGTTATTTTTACTTTCATTTTCATGCATTTTGTAGCGTCCTTATAACTTCTTTAATAGCGTAAATTTTGTCTCTACGGACTTGAGTGGATAATTTGATGCAATTATGTTTGTGAGGGAAGTAATTTATTACCCTTTGTTCTATTTACACCTTGTTGAACCCGTGTTTGCGAAAAATTGCCTGAATATATTTGTGACAACTAGAAGTTATTACATGTTAATTACTAACCTTTACTTGAAGTGGTTATTGGAGAGGCCTATGGCCCTCTTTTGACTATAAAGTGGATATCTCAACATAGAATGAGGGCATGGAAGGATAAATTAAGTTTTGCAAAGTAACTTGGAAGATTGAATAAGTGCAAGGATGGGGTGTTTCATTATGATTTGGTGTTTTCAAGTAAAGAAGCTCAATGATTCTATGAGCTAATTGCTTGAAAATATAAAGATGAACTAGCTTTTATAGAACAGAAAAATAGTTGCACAAAGTTGTTAAACATAGAGTTTAACTAAAGTTGCACAAAGTTGTTGTTAAACATAAGTTAACTAAACTGAAGCTTTATTGAAGTAAATAATTAAATATATGTACATTTCGAGAAAAAAAATACGAAATTTGATTTAGTAGTGCATACTTGCACACTTTTTCTTTTGCTCCTTTGCCAAATCAGTAGTTACTTTTTTTTAAACCATTATATTAATGGAATTTCTTTTTCCACCCTTTAACCTTCTCACAAACTTTTGGTGGAAATTTAAAAATGTTCATAGAATTTTGAGGTGTATCTTTAGATGCATTAATTTTTTTACAAAATCAAACGCAAACGAGTGAATCATTCCTATTATATTTAATTTCGAAGACGCATCTTCGGACACTTTTTTTTTAACGAAAAAAGTGTTTTCAGATATGCATATCTGTGAAGTGTCTTGTTGTGTTTTTAAAGAGTATTTTTCAACCCTAACTTTTCACGAATCGTACACTCTATTTTGAATTCTTTTTTAAAGATTCATCACTTCAACCCGTCATTTGACCTACCTGTTGGAACAAGTTTGGTTCTGCAACTATTCTTGAGTTTTGATGGTAACAAAGCTTATTATGTATAGAGAACAATTTTGCACCCTAAGTATTATGTTAAGTATACATATCATAGAAAACAAATTCTGATTCTGAAGAAGTCAACTCTGGACAACCAGACTCTGAACTATAGACACACTCTAAATCAAAGAAAGAATCAAATGCATGTTTAAATGAAAGACAAACCTCTGAATTACTAAGTTAACGTTTCTACAAGAATCTATCCATAATGACTATGATAAAGACTCTTATAATTTAAGTCTCTGATGTCCCAGGACTCTGAACTCTATAGACTTTGAAGTCTCATTTTCACTAGATTCTAAAGAGAGACTCTGAACTCTATTCATGCTTCGCCAACTTTGATATGAAGCCCCTGACTATAGGTTAATGACTAAAAGTAAACGACTAAAAGAAGAACACGTGGCAAAAGTATAATTAGTACAAAAGAAAATATTTTTTCCACTACCCTGAAGATCAAGAAAAAGGTTTGACTGCACTATTGTACCAACATCGTTCTTAACGTCTCATCCCCACCCTCTCTATGCTGCAAGCCACTCTACTGTTGTAGAAACAAGTGACCTTCATACAATTGTGATATTGAGGATATTCCAATTCCATCCTCCAACAAATCTATTCTTCATCTATATAAAGAGATCTTGAAAGCTTGGAAAACCACTGATTGAATAAAACACATACGTGAAGAAATGACAAGAAAAGTAGTGTTTTCGCACTAAGAAAACTATCACGTTCATACACTTAGAACATTTTCTTGAATATATTTACTTAGTGTAATATTTGATTTTAACTTGTGTATCTGCTTTTTTAGAAGCAACTTTGTAAATACAATATTGTTTTATTAACCTTTGGTTAAATATCTTGAGAGACTAGGTTATAGTCAATATTCTAAAAAAGTCTTTGAGAGGTTGTCATTAACTTTGTAATCAATCTTTAATTAGTGGATTAAGTCCTTATTGAGAAGGCAAAAATCATTCCGGCGGGTGGACTGAGTGTAACTTAGTTAACAACAAATTAGGATAAAAATAATGGTGCCTTTTATCTTTGTTGAATATTTGTTGTTTTTTTTGTTGGGTAGCGAAATTTTTTTAATCTAGAAACTCAATTCGAACCTCATTTCTTGTATTTCTTTAACCTTAACCACCTATATCTATTGTCCCCTTTGTGAATCAGTCGATGTACTCTCGCAAGGTATCTTTCTTCCTCTGATGGATCTCGTTAAGGACGTCTATTATCTTCATTTTTTGCTTCCAGGATGTGAAATAAGTTGTGAATTCATCACACAAATTTTTACAGAAGTTGATGTAGCCGTCAAGTAGGATTTACAACCATGTCACGACTTAAAAGCCTAGGACAAATAATTTACACTTCACTGTGCTCCTAGAATGCCAATAGTCGAGCTTGGTGTCCAGATGTTCAATATGTTCGTCTAGATCTCGACTCCCGTCGATAATGTAATTAGAGAACAAATTCATCATGCGGTGATATGAGGTTCGATCTTTTATGCACCACTTATCTCTTATAATGACAATCTTGGGGATGCGTGTGACTGCCGTCTTCGCCTCCAAAACCATTAGAAGGATATTGGTAAGCCTGCGAGTGGAAATGTTCCAGAGAAACGATAAATCTTTGATGTTGTGAGACGACGTCATCAAGGGTTTCCCAATGCGTGGCTTGAAGTTTATCACATTGTGCTACTTTTTATCGTCTGTGAACTCTAGATGGAGATATTGGTTGGTTTCCTTATCCTCGTAGGAACCTTTTAGCCAAGAGATGTGCATTCTGATATTGCACTAAATTATAGATGTTAGTGACTAGTTCATTAACTCCTTGTATTCCAAGGGTGGTTTGGAGTTATTGAAGGCTCTGGAAAATTTTAGGTTCGAGAACTTGCACTTGCGGTTGATGTTGCTCAAAAGTTTGGCCTTGAAGAAATTATTGAAAATACTTTAAAGAAAAGTATAGTCAAAGACACATTCATTAACCTAACATTCAGTTGAAGACCCAAAACATATACCAGATAAGGAAAAATAAGGAAAAATATATACCAAACAAGCACATATCATTAGAATCACACATACCAACTTTTTCAATAATGTTGGCCATAATGTTCCAACAACTATGTCAAATCCGTCATAGAACTTAAGAATTAGTCGAGGAATTGACTCATAGCTCACATACAGGATTCTCTATTGTACTTTAAGCAATTACATCAAAGAATAAACTCTAAGTCTCGATTGTAGGTTCGTTAACTTTCAAATATTTTAAGTACAAAGTTAAATTTTTGTGTGAGCTACTAAACCAAAAATATATATATGTAAAATTAAAAAATAAAGACAAGGATAAAATTAGATTTATCAACAAATAGCAGAGCAGAACAACCAATCTTAAAATGGGATACTCATTGTTTAACTATTTTTTAGACTAATTATATGAATAATATATAAAAAGATATATTTAATGTAAAATTAAACAAATAAAAGAGGAACAAAGTTATCAAATGACTATTACTTAAAAAATAGAGGACAATATGAATAAAGAATGAAGAAGAAATAAGAGAAAAGAAAGAAGAAATAAAATAAGAAAAGAAGATTTTAAGAAATATAGAATAACAAAGAAAAGAAATAAGAAAGAAGAGAAAAGAAAGAAGAAGACAAGAAATAAGAGAAAAGAAGAATAGAAGAGTAAAAACCAACTTGAGAAGATGGAATTACAGGCGGCGACACTAAGAAACAAAGCAAACGAAGGCGTCAACGATGATAAATGAAGTAGACGAAGGCGACGTCATTGAGAAATGAAGCAGACGGAGGCGGTACTACGAAGAAGATGGTGAGAAGAAATCTCTGAAAACTGAAGCAAAAGGGTATGAGAAGAAGATCGAATCCTCCGTTTTGTGTTATGAGTTAGAGCAAATTGAAATTTTTTCACAAAACTACTCCAAAATTTATTTATTTTAAGCTTAAATATGAGTTTTCGTATTCAAAATGGTTTAAACGCGCTCGGGTTGGGAAGCGCTCTGCTTCCGCCACCCACTAAACATCAAATAGCCGCCGCTATCACAAACTGAGATGCAAATCAATCCCCATGCATCTCGTAACTCATTTCTCGCACTTTAATATACATACTTTGGTTCAATTACCTAAGTTCTTCATTGCAATAATTCCTTATCTTCCTTTTTATTTTGAAAATCATCAATTTGTTAACTAATTCAGATTCATCATCATCACTGCCATCATAAGAATCAACATAATCATTTAAAATAATAATGATGGTGATAGTGATGATGATAAATCAGAATTAGTCAACAAATTGATGTTTTTCAAAATAAACTAGAAGAGATGGAATCAATGCTATGAAGAACTTAGGTCATTGAACCATATTCTATATGTTAAAAAGCAAGGTGAGAGAAATCCTGGTTCCTGTCTATGACAGACGACCGTCATATATGAGATTATCATTTATTTCACATGAGCTTCATCGTTATTTACATCGTCACGAGGCTGATAAGGAGGATGATGATTTTGCATAGATATTTTGAGTACTATGTGTAGCTCAGGGAGACCAATGCGTCAGGGCGGACCAATACATCAGAGTGATTGATGCATCATTATTTTTGAAACTTATGTAGTATTTTCAGACTTATGCAATACATTTACTATTTTGAGATTTATGTATTTTTATACTTCTTTACTATTTTAAGACTTATGCAATATAATCCAAAATATAGCATGAATTTTCAATATAACATGAAGTCGATTGGTAATATAATCCAAAATATAACAATCACGTTACAATTATAATATAACATATTGCGGCACTACAGGCGTAAGGAGTTCCCAATGTTGTAACTTTCAAGCAAATTCTATCATCCAAGAAGTTGTATCTGGTGTGCGAAACTTCTTTCAATCTAATGTGATTGTTGGCAAAAACATTTCTATCACATAACTCATATTGGGTAATATCATCTATTTTTGTGGTGGTTGAGGACCTAAAGATGATATCATCAAGGATTCTCTCACTTATGATAAACGATTTCCAAATAACTTCTCACAGAGACTGCTTCTAAAACCTTTAATCTCATTATCCAAGTCACATCAAATGATTGTCCTACCATCCTCATCATATCCATGCAATGACTATAAACTCACATTTTCCATCATTCTTGACATCAACAATGACATCAATAAATGGTATGATATGATATGGAAATCGCAAAATGAAATTATTATATGGTTGTCTTTGAGGTTTGGGATAACTATGAACATGGCCTCTTTGAAGATTTTTGAAAACTCGAATTTGCTTGATCAACATACTCATGATATGAAGGGTTACGATAAACATCATATCCCACGAGTTTCTTCCCTTTTGTCTTCACCATTCCTTTCTTATTTATTTTTTCAGTCGCTAGACACATCCTTGTTGTAGTGGGGTAAGAAATTTCACACACCCTACTTTTTAGTGCTCTTTTTCTTGAAACCCTTAATGACCTTTACCTTTTCCAAAGTGCATCCATTTCGTTGATCATGTACACCTCTGACCCATCCTCTGCATCTACCTCTTGTTCACCTTCCATGCTTAGCTTTCTCCAATAGATATGAATAACTTTAATTGGTATCGGATAACCACTCAATGTGTATCTCCCTAACTCACAAGCACAAGGTAACCCATATATTTTCTATGAGTACGCCCACACATCTGGGTGTTTATACCCACAATGTCAATCCTCAACCACTCTTAAGCAATGTGCCTCAAAGCAGCTTTTGATACCGATCCACATAAATTCTCATTAAATGGAATAGTGTGCGTATGCTCAATTTCATAAAAGCTCTTATGAAATGAATCTCTAATATTACCCAATTGTACTATGAGATTTCTATTCATAGCCTCCCAACATTTGCACTTATCACCTAAGTTGTTCTACAACATCTATTTTAGTTTCCAATGCGTAAACTCATCCCTAAAAAAAAACCAAATCAATATCCATAATATTAAGATAAACAAACTATGGCTAAAATTAAACATACCTATTAGTCGTGGTGTTGCTCAAATGCAACACTTGATTCATCTATGCTCCAACAAATATATGCCTATGAGGAGTCAACCATGTGTCTTTCACATAATTAAAAAATGGTCTAAAATCAACACATGCATGCTCAAGATCATGCAACTGTTGATGGTACTCCACCTCATCACTAGCCTTTACAAGTTCATACCATAGTTTTTCTATTGGATCTCACATAACATTCACAACATATTTCTTGCACTTTGATTTCACATTTTTGTTGATGTGAAATCGACAAAGCAAATTAGTTGTCCTTGGAAATACTGTCTCAACTGCTTTGATCAAAGCAAGATCTCTAAAAGTCAAAATTACTTGTGGCCATAACCCTTATTTAGTAAACAACTGTTTCAACTTATCCGATACCCAACAAAATTTCTCTGTTTGCTCTGATTCCGTATAGACAAATGCAACAAAAAATATTAACTCAATTGATGTCATAGCATCTGCTTTAAACAAAGGTTGTCTATACTTGTTTGTCTTGTATGTGTTGTCCATAATAACACAATAAGAAACATATTCAATAACTTCACTAATTTGGATGGGTCTAGAAGATATCTCTCACAACTTCTTACTCATCTTTTTTTCTACTTCAGTAAACATAATCTGAATCCTTTATCAACTTAAACAAATGTTGCATTTCCGTTCTAGGACCCCCAATATCTTTATGCAACCTACTCTTATGTTTATATATGTGCGTGATCTGAGTAACATTCTCCGGATCTCGTTTTTGTAATGAAAATAATATGTGTCTTGGTGGAACATGATGTTTTGTCAAATCAATAATATGTTGTTGTTCATCTGCATTTAGTTGACCTACAAATGAATGACCTTCAAATCTATTAGGTAAACCATGGTTGTGAAGTTCACATTTTACATTAACATTCCATCCAGAACCATCTTTTGATGGTGTTGACCTAATTTTGAAGGGACAACCACATTTCTTAATAACACTTTGTATTACACTATCTCATTCTTTGTATTTTTCACATTTATCACAACCAAATATTACTTTGTTACTTCTCATTCTCTTGCCTATTTTGGTATCTGAACGAGTTATTATAACTGTTACTTTATTCCTGATTCCAACCACCCTAATCCACCTTGTCGCCTCTTCTCGTGTAGCAAATATTTGTGTAGTTGAGAATATATCAATGGTTTCTACACATATCTGATTTGTATCGCATATCATCAAAGAATTATCCATATCTGTTAAGTATAAATATATAATTTTTTTAACAAAACATAAACAAAATTAAAAAATGCGTATCAGAAGACTTAGAAGCAAGCAATCAGGTTAGTAAAAAAACATCACCGAAAAACTTAGATGCGAGTCATTCGGTTACTAGAAAAACATATGAAAAAAGTTATTCGATTGACTTTTCCGAATAAGATAACTATGCAACATGTTGATCAAACTTTTTTGGTCTTTCGAAAGATTGGTTTTTTTTCTTCTTTTTAACGTCAATTAATTCATGCAAATAATCAAACAAAAAAACAAAAAAAAAAACAAGTAGAAAGTGGGGGTGGAGTCAGCAACAAGGCTGAACTGCATTGGACCCCTACATGACCCTATTCCCATAAAAGAGAGAAAAAAATAAATTAATTAAGTGATTTCCGTTGAGTACAACAGATGTGAAATGTGTTAATACATTTCTCTTGTAAAATCGACTCCCAAATACGATCTGGTTGCAACAACTATATCTCTATCATTATTTTTTTAGGTTTTATCGATATATATATATATATATATATATATATATATATATATATATATATATATATATATATATATATATATATATATATATATATATATATATATATATATATATATATATATATATATATATATATATATATATATAGAGAGAGAGAGAGAGAGAGATTGACGGCGACTCAATTTATCACCCCGAGCGTGTGATGCCTTTTGTGATAATATTTTTCGCAATATCTATACCTGTAAAATATAAATACAAAAAAATTAACAAAACATTAAAAAAGTGTATCAAAATACTCAAGAAGCAAAAATTCAATTAGCGAAAGAAACATCACCAAAAAACTTAGATGCAATTTATCCGATTAGTAAAAAAATATAACCAAAAAGATATATGGAAAAGTTATCCACTTACCTTTTGTGAACTTGATAAGTACACAACATGTTATCCAACGTATAATAAACATAACCAAAAGATATAATAAATATAAATCGAAAATCATGATATTAAATTCTTGAGTTTAGTAACTCAATATACCATATGCATTATGAGTTAAATTATTCGATTTACATAAGTGAAATACACAATAATTAATTTCAAAAGATTCAAACGGATGGTAGAAATTAAAAAAAATAAAAATTTGAGATATTTACAAAATTATTGGAATAGAGAAATAAGTATGAGATATACGGTAAAATTTTGTTAGTGTTAGAAGAAAAAGTTGATAACGTGTGAGTATGAGCTATTCGGATGCGGTGATATTGATCAGTACCGCAAAGCAGGAATCATGTGATTATTATTATCCTATGCTCTCATCGTATCCCATAATTAATAATTCCCGTCTTCAAAGCACGGTTACAAAATTTCCTCTTTAATCTAGTTGAGTTCAAACACTCATTACTTCACCCATTGTTTATACACAATTCCTAACCGAAGGTTGTTGAGGGTTTATTCCGTCATTTCAATCGATCAGACAAAAATGGTCAATCGCCGTTTTACTCAGGTAGCCACCAGCGACGACGACGAAGACGAAGCCCCACCGCCACCTCAGCAACATTCCAAGCTACGCAAACGGAAGAGAATGAAGCTTCTAGAAGAAGAAGAAGAAGACAACGACAATAGCGATAACAGTAACGATAAAGTTGAGGAGAAGGAAGAGGAGAAAAAGGATCCGCCTCAGACTCCAGATGATGCTAAACCAATTGGTGATCCTCTTAGGGTTTCCGGGAAAGGAAGAGGGAGGAAGAGACATTACGAATCCTTCGAATTCGATGGCAACCAATACTATCTCGTATGTTTCGTAACGTAATTTTATTTCGTGCTTCAATTTTCACAACGCAAATTGTTCTTATTCTGTTTCTGTTTGTTGTTGTTGCAGGAGGATCCTGTTCTTCTTGTGCCTGAGGATAAAGAACAAAAGCCCTATGTTGCCATAATTAAAGTATTTATCTTTTTCCTTTCTCTATTTGATTAAGAATTAGGATTGAAAAATTGAAAGTTTTCAATCAGTTTTTGCTGGAGGTAATTATCATATACAAAAATTAATTATCAAAACAGAGTTGGATCTTCTCATGCATGCTAAACCCTAGAGTGTTGTAGAGGGATGGAGAGAAAAATTGTTTGAGATGATTCCAAATTCTAAACCCTGTTAAGACATATTTGTGCTGCATTGATGTTGTAAAGGGTTTTCCTTCGGTCTTGCCTTATCAACAATTGTTATTTACTCCTTTTGTTTTTCTTGATAAATACGTCCTTTGAATCTCGGTGTTTTGATATTTGCTCTGCTGTCAGGACATTATACAGTACTTTAGTGGCAGTATAATGGTGGCGGGACAGTGGTTTTATCGTCCTGAAGAAGCTGAAAAAAAAGGTGGTGGCAGCTGGAAATCGTGTGATACAAGAGAGCTTTTTTATAGTTTCCACCGGGATGAGGTTCCTGCAGAGTCTGTTATGCACAAGTGTGTGGTGCACTTTGTTCCCTTAAATAAACAGTTTCCGAAACGTAAGCAACATCCTGGCTTTATTGTACAAAAGGTGTATGACACTTTGGAAAGGAAACTCTGGAAGCTGACTGATAAGGACTTTGAAGATGTTAAACAGCAAGAAATCGACGAGCTTGTTCAGAAAACTCAGAAACGCATCGGCGAGTTACTTGACATTGAGCCTGAAGAATCCCCTCCTATTGATCAGGAGGAGGTGATGAAAAATAAAAGAAGCTCAAGAAGAAAAAGCATTTCACCCATTGACGTTTCAAGGGACGAGGAAGGAATTTCAAAGAGTGACCAACATTCAAAGCCCGAAACACCAATGAGTTGTGTAAATAATAACTCGGAGCATCATCACATATTAGTGAATTTCAATGCACTTACTGGGAACATACATCGTGACAAATGGTTGGAGAGGCTGCTTCAACATGTTCAGTATATGTGTAATTATGATGAGGGTGTAGAAAAGGGAAAGGGATCAGGAAATACCGATTCTGATGAAATCAAAAACAAAAACAATGATAAAACTTCAGAAATAGCAAATGACCGTCAGGACACGGGTCAGAAGGTATGAAATTTATGTTTTATTTGGGTTATCAATTATTTATTTTCTCATCCTGTTTACTATTTTCCCTTTCCTTAAGGATTATATGAACTCTATCTTTTTATCTCTTCGCTCTACAGAGTTCCGAGTCTTTTGTGTGGCCAGATGCTGCTGTTTCAGCCATAGTTGCTCTTGAGAAAGCTTCCAATGAGGCCCTTTCAACAGACTTTCAAAAGTACAACCAAAAGCTACGGCAATTGGATTTTAATCTCAAGGTCAGAAGCTGGCATTCTGCATATATAAAACATACCATTGGAATAATTGTTAGTGTTATATTTGAGTCATTGAAAAAATTGCATATTATTGCTACATTTTAAGGTGGGACTTTTAATCTTGTATTGTTTTTTGTTCATATTATCATATAAATAATTAATGTCTAGGAGGTTAAGAGTTCGTAATAAAAATTGTCTTTCTATTCATAAAGAAGAAACGATAAATTGGAATGTTGAATGATCATGCTGTTGCTTACTTAGTAATTTTACGTCTACAAAGCATACTATAATGTTCTGTGCTGTATCTCTTAATGTCATTTGAAAAGAAAGGGAAAAAGGAGCAAGCTGTAAATTTTCTCAATCTCTTATTTATATATTTGTCGCCGCCACAACCAATCCTCTTGCAGTGTTTTGGCCTGTAAAGTCAATGTGGCAGCATGTTGGTTATAACGATAATGTTTTTGGCTCAAGAAGTCAATACCTTTATCTTTTACATGTCATCTCTTTGTATGTCTCTCTGCAGTAATAACGATGACCTGAATATATTATTCCATTTTTATGTTCTTTGCAGAACAACGCATTGCTAGCACGCCGTCTGCTAAATGGAGAGTTGGAACCTTCTAAAATTTTGAATATGACACCCATTGAATTAAAGGTACAAGATCTGTCTAGATATAGTATTTTCTTAAATATTCAATGGAACCTATGACTTGCCTGCTGGATGAAATGAAGTTGTTTAGTAGATTTTCCACTACTGTTTTCCAATTTATGATAGCGGCATCTGGTTTTTATTCTGAATTCCTATTGATTCGACCTTCTACACACCAGCATATTCTCCTCCTTTGGTTATGTCTTTATTCTAATAAAAGACATGAATACACAAGAAGCTGGAAAATTTGATCGCCTAAGTAAGACTCTTATTTGTGAAAAGTTTGTGTCAAAAGTTAGAGAATTTGCATTTTTTTCTAGGTGAAGTGGAAGATTTAACACCTCTTTCCTTATATCCTCGAGAAATGTTGATCTCTCGCATTTTGTTGCATACTTGTAGAGGTGCCCTTGTTGGGTTAAGTTGCTTGCATAATATTACTATTGAATGTAGATGAACTTTCAGCCTTGCAGAAAACGTTCACATAGAAACTGTAGCTTTCATTAATATTATGCTTGCTTTGTATGTCATTGCTTTTTTAGGTTGTTTCTATTTCTTAAAACAAGTTTTTCAACTGTGCTTCAAAATCATGTTTGCTTTTTAAAAAAAAAATTATTTGCCATTGAAATTCTAGTACCTTCTGTTCTCTATAAAAGATGCTTTTGAAACTGTACCAAAAAAAATATGCTTTTGAAACTACCAAAAAAAAATGCTTTTGAAAAGATTAAACTGCCTGTTGATTGATTGTTTGATTCTGGACTGTCATCTACTAAATATGAACTTCAGGAGGGTTTGACTGCTGAGGAGTTAACCAAGAAGGAGCCTGATGAGAAACAGCACATGCAAGTAAGTTTACCCCATTACAATTTTATTCTATGCTGTGAAAATCTGTTAACTTCAGCTTTCCCACCCCCGAAACAGATGACAGATGCCCGCTGCTCAAGATGCATGGAGTTTAAGGTCGGCTTGAGGGAGATCATCCACGCCGGACACGATGACCGTTATCAGGTTTGCATTTTTTACTTGTTCAAAATTCCAAAGTACCAATGTGTCTTGTAGCTTTACGACATGGTTTGATTTCTTGGTGCTCTTCCTTTTCTTCAGCTGGAATGCTCTGCCTGTGGTAATTCCTGGTATGCCTCCCGGGATGAAGTGTCCACACTGACTATAGATGCATCGGACTCAAAGAGAAGCACAGACACAGCACCATCGGCCACAGCAAAATTTGAAGATGTTCAGAAGAAGCTGGCGAGCCCCCGTGAATCTGAAATCGCAGTTGATGACATCTCTAAGAAAACAGGTGAACCTCATGTGCCTGTTTTGGACACCCAGAAATCATTAGGCAAGTCTAAGAAAGATGACAACGTTGAGACCAAAAAACTTGTTGATAAGGAATGATCTATGTATGATGTACTCTTTAGATGTTACAAATATCGAGGCTGAAACCAACAAAAGATTGTGAATGTAGAGTTCTCACCCTGTTTATCTTTTGGTCACAAAGGAGGGTAGTGTTAATTATACTCTGTAGTTATGAAACTTTTAAAATCGTTACTAAACAAAATAAAAGCAGATGCTTTTGACTTGCTTTGTTTCATTGGAAAATCATGCAGTGGCATCACTTTCAACAAAATTCAAGTATTTGACTACACGATTGAAAGTTCAAACTCCTGCAATTAAACATTTAATAGTATATGCATAATTGATCGGGACATTGTTTCACGTTTTGCTTTTGACGACTCGGATGCTTTGATTGTTGTCGAGGACAAGGACAAAAAAGAAGGGACTCAAGGACAAAAAAGAAGGGACTCCTTACCGGAGTCGTACAAACTCAAAGGGACGAATAGAATCTGCTTGACATATGAGGGGAAGCGCTTCCCCAGGGACGAATAGAATCTGCTTGACATATGAGGGGAAGCGCTTCCCCATGTATGAGTTTGTTTTTTTGGGAGGCAGGGTTTCGTCTACCATTCAGTGACTTCTAGGTGGGGATATTTTAATGGCTAGAGTTGACACCCTTTCAGCTCTATTCGAACATGATTGCGTTTGTGCGGGCATTCGAGCTCGTATGTCAAACTTTCGAATCAGCGTCATACTTCCATTATTCTTCTGTCTTTTCCACCTTCATCGACAATCTTCACACGAGTAGCACAACTGGATGTCCTTCAAACAATCGAGGAAGTTGTTCAGAACATACATGGATTCTGTCAGTGCCTTCAAAGATAGATACTTCCACGTGAAACCTGTATAGGAGGCCGCCGTCGATTCCATGTTCAAACGCGTGGTCGAGCTCGTGGATGGGCAGGAGGTGGTGAGGTTAGAAGCGAAGTTTTCCCTTGAGTGACAGATGATTCATTTCGTCAAAGCGACGAATCACGAAGCCTAATGAGTTGGACACTGAGGATTATCTTGCCTATGAGAAGCTCGTGGCGTTTGTTGATAGCTTTGTCCCCGTCAAGTGTGTAAGTAAGGATGAGAGTTTCATCTTTACTGAGGATGGGGAGGTTGCTTACGAGGCCTGGCTAATCAACATTAAGGCGCTCCTCGAGTGTGGTTCTGTCGAAGAAGCTTTAAGGCTTTTAGGTAGCGAGCATGTTTTCAACTCGTGTGTCCGCTTATTTTTCCTTGTTATACTTGATCAATGTTCTTTCTTTTGTTACAGGTCAAATGTCGAGCCTTCAGGAGCGCATGCTTAAGATTGTGGCGGCCAGGGGTACCAAGAAAGCCCCTAAGGGTCGGGTTTCCCAAGTCCAAAAGCAGTCGAAGATTGACCAACACCTCTGCAATTCTTCCTCCTCGCCCTAGGGGAGTCAGTCTCCAGCTTCTCAGGAACATGCAACCAAGAAGAGGCAACGTGGAGAAGACACCAGAACCGTCGATCTCGCGGAGGGGGTGTCGGGGAGAAGTTCGTGTTACCTCCTGTTATCTTCACAGGGGGCACTTAGGCGGAGACAACTCTCTGGTTGCGTCTGAATTGGATTCAAAGGCAATCCTGGCCGTCGATAAAGTGGCCAGGCGGAAAGCGCTATCCGAGGACGTTGCCGCTGTGATGAGGGTTTTGGAGACTGCCTTGGCCCTCAAGGACGAGGAGACCTGTCCCCTCGCTGAGCTGAGGAGGGTGCAGGCCTTGAATACGGACCTTAAGGCGAAGAAAATTAATCTGGAGAACAACTTCTCTGACTACCAGGAGAAGTATCAGATCCAAGCCGATCTTTACCATGAGATGGATCAGATGAAGGAGTCACTGGCCAAGGAAACCGAGGAGAACAAATGTCTCAAGGCGAAGGTCACTGAGTTGGAGGTTGTTGTGGCGCTCGCCAAGGACGAGACCGTCGAGGAAAAGGCCTTGTCGACTCAGGGTGAGTTGATATCCCGATTCTAGGGGCTCCAGCAGGACCGCTTGGAAACAGTCAAGCTGGGTTTTAACAGTGCGGTGGAGCAGCTCTAAGTCGTCTACCCCGGGATTCAACTCGTTACTGAGGAGATCCGGCCTTTTCATCAGGTCGTCGACGACTAGATAGTCGCTCAAGCAGGTCTCGGCGACAATGTTAATCAAGCTGGCGGGGAGTCCCAGCTCGAAGAGGAAGAAGGTGTTTAGTTTTTATTTTGTAGTTGTTTGTCGTGCGTGCCATATTTTGTGTTTGCCTGGCCTGCGCGCTATGGCTTGTAATATATGAATGTGGGCTTTGACCGTTTGCTGTACTTGGATATTTGATTCGTCATCCTAATATAACTGCCCTTTCAACACGTGTGTATGAGTTTGTATGTTTTTCCAATCGACTACTTATTTTCCTTGTCAATATGTATGTAACACTGTTTTTACTAAGTGTATGGGGCCCTTGATCGACAGAGTTGGTGCTCGACTGTGTAGGGAACTGGTCGAGCGATCTGAGTTGGCTTCTGATTGAAAACAGAGCTAAGATATTGGTCGATGTCTTTGCTTTGCGGTGTGAACTTCTCATTGCGAGCTGGGTGTTCTGCCTTATTGGTACTACAACAGAAGAGCTCGATTGAGGTGTCTACATCGGGTCAAGAATCTGCTCGCAGTTCACGACAAGTTATCCCTCGCGCGAAACTTTCTGATTTCTCCACAGGACTAGGCTGCCAATTTGGAATTCGCGTTTTATGACTGTGGCGTCATGTCGAAAAGTTATTTTTTGTTTCAATAAGGATTCGTGAAGGGGTTCCCCCGATCGAATTTCTTCGACTAGATCGAGTTCCTCCCTTAGTGTCTCGTCACTCACCTCCTCATCGAGGGAAGATTCGGTCCGTCTAGAGGGCTCTCTGATTTCCACTGGAATAACTGCCTCGGTTCCGTAGCTTATTCGGAATGGAGTCTCTCTGGTGGTCGAGTGTGATGTCGTTCTGTAGTCTTAGAGTACGATATGTAGCTCCTCGACCCACCTCTTTTTAGCTTCGCTTAATCATTGCTTTAGGCCTCGTAAGATAACTCTGTTCGCGGCTTCAGCCTACCCGTTTGTTTGCGGGTGCCTGACAGACGTGAAATGTTTCTTGGTGTCCAGTTTGGCGACGAACTTCTAGAAGCTTTTGTCGGTGAATTGCATCCCGCTATCGGTGACGAGTGCCTGTGGTATGTCGAACCGGGCAAGTATGTTTCTCTTGTAGAAACTAAGTATGTTGCTTTTGCTTTGAAGGAGATCAAGTGCTAAGTGTAGGATGACACTTGGTTTTTCATGTCTCCTAATTTATCATGTTTTTGTTGTTCTAAGTTATTTTAAGAATTGGAGTTTAGAATGATTTTGTATTTTTGATAATGATGGATTGTCCTCCGAGGTGTTGGGCGTTGATCCCTTCGTGGATTTCTCGGAGTATGTGGGCGACCTTGGACTCTTCGATACACTTGAGAAGAGGGATGAAGAATCTTCGTCTGTATAACTTGTCTTCGATCAAGACGTAGGAGCAAGCTCTGCGCCAGATTATGTGAGCCTCTTTCGGGTCGGGGGGAAGTTCTCCCGTGGTGAGGTATGTGTACACCGGGGTCATCCAACAGTCGTTGTCGCTGATGGCATTCACGTCGATGGTCGTGGTGGGCTTCTTGATGCTTGGTCGAGAAAGTACCTCCTGGATAACTGACTTGTTTCTGCCCTTCTTCTTCGTGCTCGCAAGCTTCGACGGGATGGCTGCTCAGGTGTTGTATTCGCGGGGGACATGTTTTACTTCTGCAAAATTGAACCTTTTCATCCTTTCTTTGACCAGGGTTAAGTACTCAACGAGGTTTTCATTTTTGGCTTGGTATTACCCACATACTTGAGAGGCGAGGAGCTGGGAATTGGTAAAGATCTTTACATCTTTCGCACCTAGATCCTCGGCTAAGCGTAGCCCTATGAGGAAGGCTTCGTACTCGGCTTGGTTATTCGAGGTCGGGAAGGATAAAGCGAGGGAAACTTCGATCAGTATGTCTTCTTTGTTCTCAATAATGATGCCCACACAACTTCCTGTCAAGATGGATACCCCGTCCAAGAAGTTGGTCCACCTGTGGGCTCCGTTTGTCGGGGACACCGGCGCATTCATTTCTGCCACAAATTCAACTAATACTTGAGCTTTGAGGGCCTTCCTACTCTCGTACTGGACGTCGAACTCAGAGAGTTCCAACAACCATTTAAGCATTCTACTGGCCATGTCAAGACGACTGAGTAGTTGCTTTACGGACTGGTATGTCCGTACCACGATCGTGTAAGCCAGGAAGTAATTCCATAACCTTCTGGTCGCATTGATGAGGGCGATAGCTACTTTTACAATCTGCTGATATCTAAGCTTTGGGCCTTGCAAAGCTTTACTGGTGAAGTATATAGGTTTCTGCCCTTCAGGGGTTTTGCGAATGAGAGTCGTGCTGACAACCTTAGTTGCGACGGCGAGGTAGAGGTACAAAGTCTCCCCGTTTTCTAGTCGTGAGAGGACTGGAAGTCGCAAAAAAACTTGTTTGAGATGGAGGAGGGCTTGCTTACACTCCTCGGCCAATTTGAGCGTCGCTTCCTTGCGCAGAAGTTTGAAAAATGGAAGTGTGTGTTGGGCAAATTTAGCTACAAAGTGAGACAACAAGGTGAGCATCCTTCTTAGGGATTGTATCAGTTTCTTCGAGCTCAGTGTTGAAAACTTGGAGAAATCTCGATATTTGTCGGGGTTCGCTTTGATTCCATGTTCTGTCAGGTAGAAGCCGAATAACTTGCCTGGTCGAACGCCGAAGGTGCGCTTCTCCGGGTTGAGCCTCATCCTGCATCTCCTTGTCGTGTCGAATAACCTTTTGATTTGGAGGGTGTGGTCGGTTTCTTCTTGAGATTTCACGATTATGTCGTCCATGTAGACCACGAGCATGTCCCTGATCTCACCTCAGAAGATTTTGTTCATCATACACTGGTAAGTAGCGCCAATATTTTTCAGGC